CTGTACAAATGGACGAGCACCTATGTGCGCACGTGTGAGATGTGTCAACGGGTGAAACACTCTCCAAATGCGGCTGCGCCGCTGGCCAGCTTACCGGTACCCACTGGGGTGCTGGCAGTCCATGAGTTTGGACTTTGTGTTTGGCCTGCCGAAAGATGCGGCGGGGAACACGGGTGTCGTGGTATTCGTCGACCAGATGAACAAGATGGCTCGTTTGGCAGCGGTGCCAGACACTATCGACGGAGTCGGTACAGCAACTCTGATTGTAGATCGTGTTTCTCGCCAACACGGACTCCCAGAGTCGAACGTCTCTGATAGTGACCCCCGTTTCACAGGAAAATTTTGGTCGACTTTCTTCAAGGTGCTAGGCTCCAAGTTGGACATGTCGACAGTGGATCATCCGCAGACCGATGGTCAGACCGAAAGGGTGTATCGCGTCATCGAAGACGTTCTTCACAGCGTCTGCGCTGAGACGCCGAGGCGCTGGTGCGCCATGTTGCCACTCGTAGAGTTTGCGCTGAACAATGCAGTTCATCCATCTACCGGCTACACGCCTTTCTACGTGAACGGGCTATTTCACCCTCGCGTCCCACTGACGCCGCCATCCCATGACTCAGGGCTTAGAAGGGGAGGAATAGCCGAATGGCTAGCTGATGTCAGCCCCCTCGTCATCCTCAAAGAAGTCGATGAATTCTTGACTACCAGACTGAGTGTCCTACGACACGTTCGCGATGCGATGGCTGAAATCCAAGACCTGCAGAAAGAATATGCAGACGAAAAAGGAAGAGGCAAAGTAGAAAGCTTTAAGATCGAGGACCTGGTTTTATTCAAATCTGAAATCTGCCTACGCATGCAGCCTCTGCTATCTTCCGGTCGAAACTTCGTTCACGGTTTATTGGACCGTTTAAGGATGTGGCCAAGCGGGGCCTAGCGTATACTCTGAACCTCCCAAAACGGATGCGCACCCACCCGGTGTTTTACGTGGACGTGCTCTAGCCGTACCCGGATCCGGCGCTAGTGAACGCGGAAGCGTTGGCGCCGGATCGGATCCCACGGGCCCTTGGCCACCCAGAAACTGAACCAGCAACTGGCTCTGA